AACTCGAGGATCGTTTTATAAAACTCGAGAATCGTTTAATAAAACTCGAAGAATCGTTTTATAAAACTCGAAGAATCGTTTTATAAAACTCAAGAATCATTTTATAAAACTCGAAGAATCGTTTTATAAAACTCGAGAATCGTTTTATAAAACTCGAAGAATCGTTTTATAAAACTCGAGAATCATTTTATAAAACTCGAAGAATCGTTTTATAAAACTCGAAGAATCGTTTTATAAAACTCGAGAATCGTTTTATAAAACTCGAAGAATCGTTTTATGAAACTCGAGAATCGTTTTATAAAACTCGAAGAATCGTTTTATAAAACTCGAAGAATCGTTTTATAAAACTCGAGAATCGTTTTATATAACTCGAAGAATCGTTTTATTAAACTCGAGAATCGTTTTATAAAACTCGAGAATCGTTTTATAAAACTCGAAGAATCGTTTTATGAAACTCGAGAATCGTTTTATAAAACTCGAAGAATCGTTTTATAAAACTCGAGAATCGTTTTATAAAACTCGAAGAATCGTTTTATAAAACTTGAAGAATCGTTTTATAAAACTCGAGAATCGTTTTATAAAACTCGAAAATCGTTTTATAAAACTCGAAGAATCGTTTTATGAAACTCGAGAATCGTTTTATAAAACTCGAAGAATTGTTTTATAAAACTCGAGAATCGTTTTATAAAACTCGAAGAATCGTTTTATAAAACTCAAAGAATCGTTTTATAAAACTTGAAGAATCGTTTTATAAAACTCGAGAATCGTTTTATAAAACTCAAAGAATCGTTTTATAAAACTCGAAGAATCGTTTTATAAAACTCGAGAATCGTTTTATAAAACTCGAAGAATCGTTAACTCGAAGAATCGTTTTATAAAACTCGAAGAATCGTTTTATATAACTCGAGAATCGTTTTATAAAACTCGAGAATCGTTTTATAAAACTCGAGAATCGTTTTATAAAACTCGAGAATCGTTTTATGAAACTCGAGAATCGTTTTATAAAACTCGAAGAATCGTTTTATAAAACTCGAGAATCGTTTTATAAAACTCGAAGAATCGTTTTATAAAACTCGAAAAATCGTTTTACAAAACTCGAGAATCATTTTATAAAACTCGAAAAATCGTTTTATAAAACTCGAAAATCGTTTTATCAAACTCGAGAATCATTTTATAAAACTCGAAGAAACGTTTTATAAAACTCGAAGAATCGTTTTACGAAACCGCAAAAAACCGAAACAGCCGTAAAACGCAAACTAAGCCGGTCCGGCTTAGTTCGCCGATGGGCGAACTAGTCGAGATGGACTAGTTTGCCCATTGGCGAACTAGTCCCGTCCTTGCTAGATCGCCAATGGGCGAACTAAGAGGTGCTGACTTTGCCCCACTGGTTCTTTTCGCCTAGTTCGCCATATGGCGACCTAGCCAAGCTGAACTAGCTCGCCGTACGTCGAGTCGACCATCCCGAGCCTCGATCTCTCGCATCCCCGATTCAAAACATACGTCTTTCGACACGGTCGCATTCTGAACCACGGCTGAAACGTCTCCCGTTCCGTCTCGATCCGACCTATCATTCAAGTTTTACGATAAAAACCGTAAAACTTTGTTTTCTCGGAAAGAACTCGAGGAAATCGTATAAAACGGCAACGGTTAAACGAAACACCGAACATTACCTAAACTATACGATTTATTCGAGATTTCTCGTTGAAATCATAAAAAACGCGCTTTTAATAAAAAACGCCGAGTAAGTCGCAAAAAACGTGTTTTTAATAAAAAGTCGAGTAAATCGTAAAATCTTGCGATTAACTCGAGAAATTTATTAAAAACGACGTCAGATCAGGAAACGATCCCGTAAAAAGTCGGAAAACGGTTTTTATCGCAAAACGGCCCGGAAGGACCTAAAACGCGATAAAAACCCATCTCGCGATTTCAACGGAATCTAACCCGCAGATTTGATAACGTTTTGACGGTTTACTCGCAGAAGGAAGATAAAAGGAAAGTTTGAAGATAAATAGAAGATTTCCGCAGAAGAAAAGGAAGGATCGACAGATATGGAAAGTTCCCGAAATATTCGGTTTCGAGCAAAATGGAAAGACTAAAACCGCCTAAGGAGGAGTATATAAGGAGGAGGCATAGGGCAAAAGCTGGGGGACGAAATCCAGAGTTCTCATCTGAGACTTTCACAACTTTTCTAGATTTAGAATTTTCCGCACTTAGAAACTTAGGCTTTTTCTCGACAAGTTCGGTTTCTATGACTGGCGCTCAATTACTAGACGAACTCGCCCAGGCAGTTCGATCTCTTGTCCAGCTCTATCAACTGAACTACGTTCGACTTGATCCCCGAAAGGGGTACGTAGG